TATACATTAATAAAATTAAGAAAAAATAAAATAAAACATCTACAAAATGAAAAAATGTCTTAAGTGTCTTGTATCAATTTTCCGTGCTATAAACAGAAATAGAACTTAAGTTGGCTTATTTATTTATTTGCAATGTTTTTGCCAAAATTATCATTAATTCTATGAAACTAAAGTATCAATCTAATATATGGACATGTGAATTATGAATTTTGATTTAAATAGTTTTTCCTTCTAAATAATCACACTTTGTTTCATCTTTCCAAGTTCAATTACTTTATTTTTATTATAGAACAGAGTTTTACACCCAATATTGAATAGAAATTACCATGATTGGTCTCTACATATTCCCATTTAGGGAGAAAAATTTCAATATTCACTCTTAAATGTGAAGTTTATTGTAACATTTTCATCCTCACCAAGTTACTTCAGTACATTTGATGTTATATTTACTCATTTTTCCACAATTAAGGTGAGCAATAGTTTAATTTGAAAAATGTTTATGAATAAACAATATTTATTTCTTTCAAATATAGGACATCTTGCATTTTTGAAATGAAACTATAGCAATCATTGTGTGTGTTTACCATGTATATATTTTGTTCAGATCATCTTAGTTTTCTTCCTTATTCACAAAAATATTGCACTGTGTTTTAATTTGACTGTTTGTATCAGGTCTACTTTAAAAAAGTTCTATTTTTCTACTACCTGGCAGCCTTTGTGTAAGAGCACTGCGGTATATCAGTGCTATTACACTGCCGATGTCATCTGAGCATGTAAACCTGTGTTAGGGGGCGTTTTATGTAAGAAGAAAGAATTCTAATGGTTGTGAAGTTTTAGGCATAACACTTGCTGTCCATCTTTTTGTTGATTTTAATTTTCTAAAATTTTCTGTTTTATATTACAAAAGACATTCAAATGTATTCATAATACTGGCTCATGAATATGGTGGCGCAGCAGGTTAAAGCACAGCACCAAGAAGCTAAAGCCACTTCAGCGTGAGTTCCATTCCCAGCCAGCAGGTGACCCACATGGTGCTTCTGACCCACCCGCTGCTCCCCT